GAATCGGTTATGGTTACGGTTACGGATGACCTGATCATGATGAGATCTTTACATTAAAGGACTAAGGAATTTTAATTGCTTGTTTGTAAAAGTATTTGCTGATATCTAATTGAAAAAGAGGCTGACAAAAGTGACTGAATTTCTTCCGCCACTTCTTCTCAGCACTAGCCCATAATATGTTGTCCCGAAGTGGTGGTAGGGCAAGCTATATTTGGGACGTGTATAAGCGCCTTGGAAATAAATAATTTTGAATTTGAATTTGAAAGGGCCTAAGTAACTGAATATGATTTGAACTGAATTCCATGAAATCAGAACGCAAATGTTTTAATAATATTTGTCTGAATGTCATACTGGACAGTTAATTATTATCTTTAACTGCTATGCGTGGGTTGTATCCGTTACTATCGTATTTTATAGTAAATTGCTACAATTATAAATAATCATACTTCTGTTGTTTACTATGTGTATTTACGCACAAAAAACATTATCACCTATACACAGGTCTAAAGACCAAAATTTTACCCGACTATGGCGTTTACGCCATAATTATGTACTTACCTACTTTGATTGAGACAAAAGAAGAACGGTCTTCATAGCAAAATCTTTGGGATATGGGCTCTTTCTTTTCTGATCAGGGTTTTGTATGGACTCTCCTCCACAACGGGACTATTCCCACCTCTTGTTCCCACCGCTGCCACTCCTGTGTAGCCAGGATCTACAGCTTGACCGCCAAACCTAACCAGTGAAGGTCAAGTTTGTCCCGGGGGAAAGTTAAACTGTCATTTTTGAAATTAATCAGAAGAACATAGGAGGAGTTCGAAGTTAAGGTTTGACTTCCCTTCCTTTGCCATAAAGTTAAATAAGTTTATTAACCTACCTTTACATAAACAGAACACACAAGCGTTATCTACTTATATTTTGTGTTATGAACGACTTTCATGTCCGTATATTCACAAACGATGCTAGCTTAAATGAAGCAGCAAATCGAATGCACAGCGTTGAATAGAGCTCTGTGATTGGTTCGTGTGTCACCCTATGCGTTCACGCGCACTGTGAGACCTCATTGTAGTGTTTGTGAACACGAGCGTATATCTACTTGTGCACGACTTTCATCCACAGTAAAATAACCGACCAAGCCAGTTCTATAAATAAACCCATGGGTCAATTGACCGAAGTTCAATCGGACTTTGATTTAACCACAGTTTAACTGTTGATGGACCGTTACCGTGATCTATGTTAGATCAAACCACAAGAAACGGGGCCAAAAATATTTTGGACCTACCTACCTACATTCTTTAATAATATTTAAGACTAGCTTTCCGCCCGCGGTTTCGCCCGCGTGGAATTTTGTCTGTCACAGAAAAACTTTATCGCGCGCGTCCTTTTCAAATAAAAAGTATCCTATGTCCTTTCCCGGGATCCAAACTATCTCTATGTCAAATTTCATCAAAATCGGTTCAGTGGTTTAGGCGCGAAAGCAAGACAGACAGACAGAGTTACTTTCGCATTTATAATATTAGTAAGTATATAGAGAATAGATTTCATCTAAATCAGTTCAGTGGTATCTTGGAAAGTTGACAGACAGACAATGTGACTTTCGCATTTTATAGATTTAACTTCTCATTGCAAGAAAGTTGAAGGTCTTTTCCAAATATGGTAACTCGTTCCCACATCCTGAAGCAGGTTAAAATATAATTGCGACTATCTTTGTTAGTGTTGTAGCCATATCGATAGTTTTGTTGTCGATATTTTTTACCTCCACGATAATTCAGTGACTATGGGTGAAAGGTGACTGAGTTTCTTTCACCATTTCTTCTCAGCACTAACCGATGTTGTCCCGAAGTGGTAATAGGGCAAGCTATACATATTTAGGTCGTTTATTAAGAGGAATAAAATTATGTCTTGAAAAGGGCCTACATTATAGTAAGTAAAGAATTTCGATTTTTTGAATTTTCTGCAAAGCAGGCACAGTAAACAGTACCCATGCGAACACAAAACTAGCATGTACTTAACCATGCCATACTTTCGGCAAAATTAAATTTATTGTTTAGGCGTAAAAAAGTAATAAACTGACTAGAAGTAGGTACATTCCGCTTTGCAATGGAGGGAAGTCGAACCTTAATTTCGAACTCCTCCTATGTTCTTCTGATTAATTTCGTTGCGGGTCCAATGACAGTTTAACTTTCCCCCGGGACAAACTTGACCTTCATTAGTTGGGTTTTATGGCGGTCAAGCTGTAGACCCTGGCTACACAGGAGTTGCAGCGGTGGGAACGAGAGGTGGGAATAGTCCCGTAGAAGTAGATTCCCGTAGCAAATATAAATTAATCAAAACTCTCGTTAGTGTGTTTATTTTAGGTTACTTAATAGTATTATCGATACTATTAAACGTATTTTAAACATAGTATATTATCATTACTTCCTATCTTATCGAAAGTGAACTGAGATACAACACTAAATTATTTACAAGTTTTTTTACCACTTCCACATCCTTTTGAAAAATATTTTTTAATTTAAATTAGGTGCTAATGGGAATTTTGAATTGTCTTATTATAGGTAACTATTGTCTTACTACTTATAAAATTCAAAATTACTTATTGTTTTTCTACTTTAAATGATAATAACATTAAAAAATTCTCACATATTAAGTAGGTAACCGGTTTTAAGACCTCTACATTTTGGAAGTTCACCTCAGAAAGATGATCATAACAAATACTCATAATTAGGTACTTTAAGTTTAAGTATATTAAATCTTGTAAAATTTTGAAGAGGCTGACAATAGTGACTGAGTTTCTTGCGCTGCTTCTTCTCAGCACTGGCCCATTTATTGTCCCGAAGCAGTGGTAGGGTTAATACTGGGACGTGTAAAAGTGCTTTTTAAAAGCCTATTTACAAAAAATCGAGTTTTTATGAGTTTTTTATTAAATGACACGAGCTATCATTGCTTCATTCGAACTAACATTGTGTATAAGTACCTATCATCATTTGTGATGTCATTGTATCACAGAAAGAACATTCGTAGAGCTGATCGCCGCTGGGGCAGAAAAGTTCTCGAGTGGCGACCACGAGCCGTAGTGTGGGCAGACCCCCACTAGGTGGACCGACGATCGCGACGTGGAGGTCGCGAGAAGAGCCTGGATGCGGGCAGCACAGGACCGGTCGTTATGGAAATCCTTGGGGGAGGCCTTTGTCCAGCAGTGGACGTCATTCGGCTGAAACGAATTTTCACAGATTTTTTCTCGTGCGTGAACGCGCGCGTTTCAAAACCGAAATGATTTACTCTGAATTCTACGTTTTCTCTGAGTTTTAACATAAATCGAAGGTTCATGTATGAAATGGTTGACTGACAGAGTTTTTTTGTATTAATATTAGTACGGATTACTTACGTTTAGTTAAACAAAGAAAAAATCATACAAATAGCGGAGTTTCCCACAGTGTGCGTGTTGGATTGAATTAATGACAGATGAGATGCATGCAGGTTAATGTTCTATACATAGGATGTGTCTATAGATAGGGATTATAGCATAGTGCGCAGTTAAGTTAAATAAGTAGTTAGTTAACGGAGGCAAGTCGATTTTAGATTATACTTAGCGGCCGCCCGCGACTTCGTACACGTGGATCCCGTTTTACCCCCTTAGGGGTGGAGTTTCGTAAAATCCTTTCTTAGCGGATGCCTACGTCATAACATCTACCTGCATGCTAAACTTCAGCCCGATCCGTCCAGTGGTTTGGGCTGTGCGTTGATAGATCACTATGTCACCTTTGAGTTATTACATTAGATTATTTCTAACTCCTCCTCCTATATTCTTCTAATTATATTCGTTGCAGGTTCCAGGACGATTAACATGGGACTATTCCCACCTCTCGTTCCCACCGCTGCAACTCCTCTGTAGCCAGGATCTACAGCTTGACCGCCAATAATCCAACCAGTGAAGGTCAAATTTGTCCATATTCATCGTACGGGGTTCGACACTTAGTATGGGACTTGAAAAGATCCTATTGATCCCACAATAACCCAACCAGTGAAGGCCAAGTTTGTCCGTATTCGTCGTCCGGGGTTCGACAGTTATTTTGGGACTCGAAAAGATCCTATTGATCCCATAAAATGGGCAAGAGTATCCCCACCAGACTACAGCTTTTCCGGCCGATTTCTAATTTGTATTTGTATGAGGAATCGGCTGATAGCAAATCGGTGTAATGTACGCATTCATACATGTTCAGTTCTTGTTAACTTCCCGACTAAACTATCGGGTCTGCCGAAAAAAATGTCAAGGTAACTTTTTCCCACTCCCACTAGGTGGACATACGATCTGGTGAGGGTCGCGGGAGGTGCCTGGATGCGGGCGGCGCAGGACCATGTTTGTGGAAATCCTTGGGGGAGGCCTTTGTCCAGCTGCAGTGGATGTCTTTCAGCAGAAACGAACGAACGAACTTACTTTTTTTGACGCAAGATGTGCGCCACGCCAAGTTACTGACAAACCTAATATTATTTTAGTTTTGTAAACAAATTAATTTAATGTGGAGTGTGATAATGAATTATGCTTCATTCTATTGTTTTTAGTAAAAATAAAAACTCCTTAGCGATAATTTTATAGAACGAAGTAAGTTAAATCTTTAAACTTCAAAATTCATTTATTTTTGCAAGTGAGCTTTTAAAAAGCTCTTTTACACGTCCCAGTATTAACCCTACCACTGCTTCGGGACAATAAATGGGCCAGTGCTGAGAAGAAGCAGCGCAAGAAACTCGGTCACTATATTACTAACAGTTATTGGTTTCCAAAACAACAGACAAACCATTATTTTTGTTTAGAAATAGCAAATAAAAGTCATCATCATCAGATCATAAAATATAATATTCTCCATTGCAGGATCTTCTCTAATTTACCAGAAGCAAATGGAAAATTTTAAACGCGGGTTGGGGAGGCATAAAAACATCAAAGCTTAATAAAAATACTGTAAGTATTGCTTATAAAGAGTACTTTGTCTAAACAATCAACTCACCTGTGTCGAAGCACGGTAAAAAATCATCCACAGTCAATTAAAACGATATTATCACCATCATTGTCAAGAAAAACAATTTAAAACTTGTCACAATCATCAATTTAACACCACTTCCACGATTTATTTTTAAAAACTTCAAAAATGTCAGACGAAACTCGTTCTAGAATTTGAATTTAAAAACAAAATCGTCAACAAGTTTTAATTGATAAAAAAGGTTGTGCTCGTATTTTTTTGTTTAAACGACGCGTACGCATGTCTTGTGTAGCTAAACGATACTGAGGTATTTGCCGTTTTGCGTTGAGCTTAGGGATGGCACTTTAAGTTTGAAATGCGTATGAGCATCTATACGTACTTACTTCAAAATTTATAAAGCTGAAGACTTTGTTTGCTTGAACGCGCTAATCTCAGGAACTACTGGTCCGATTTGTAAAGTATTTTTGGTGTTGGATAGCCCATTTATCGAGGAAGGGCTTAGGCTATACATTATAATGCTGCTTTTACACTATGCGGAAATTAGCCGAGTCAAGTAAAAAAAACAGAGGAGTGGGGATGAAATTCATTCATACTTAATTCATCCCCACTCCATTGTTTTTTTGCCTTGACTTGGCTAATTTCCGCGCAGTGTAAACGCAGCATAACATCACTCTACAGCCGATAGGGGCGGAGTAGTAAAGAAAATGTTGCAAAAATGGGAAATAGATATTATTCAAACTATGTTAATTTTTGATAATTCTTTACCAGGGAAAGATACCAAAGATACTGTCATAGGATCTGCAATCTGGAATCTTAAAAATTCGTAAAATACATTTTTATATTCTGCAAATATGCATAATACATACATACATTATATTAGAGCTTTTACCATGTCCAAATATTAGTTTAACCCTATCACTGCAGCACTGCTTCGGGACAATAAATGGGCCAGTGCTGAAAGAAAACAGCACTGTCTGTGGTTCTTACAGAGTAAGTAGAATGTCCACTCCCGCTCTTCCCATGGATGTTGTACGGCGACTGATGTACAAATATGCGAACATCAGGCCTCCCCAACCCGTCTGGCCAGCGTGGGGAGTGTAGGACAAATCCTCCATTTGCCTCTGGTGAATTAGAGAGGGTCGTGCTCTTAGCCTCTTAATGACCCGATGATGAGTTTGTACCTTTCCTTAAGTAAAAGCAAGAGAGAACGAAGATAAGAATACCAACCTAGCTCAAAATAATAACTTTATGCCTTTAGTTTAAGCTTTAAAATCGTTGGAGGAAAACCCACTATCAGAACTTGTGTTTCTTTANCTGAAACGAAACGAACGATGTCCATTTTTAAATAATACTTCGATCATAGAATTATAATCATACTACAACGCACGCCAGCGTCCTGACGGGCGCGCGCGTGACACTCGACTGATATAATACCCGCCGGCGGGGCACTTCGCTGTAGGTAATTATCGGATGTACCGCGCGGAGTGAGCCAGGCCTGCTAGTACCCAATAAATATAAAAAAAACATGAGCATTATTTATACTTGGTATGAATGAATTGTCATAGTTAGAAGTCAATAACCATTAAAATCATATGCAAAATGCTAATGATACTCAAATCATATTACGCATTAATTAAAATTGGTTCTAAGGTCAGTTTTAAAAGTGGGCGTATGACCACATTGATCAAATCTAGTTCCTTGTTATGACAACGTTTTAATTACTGCGGCAAGGTGTGACACGATTACTTAAACAAACGTGACACAAACTATTGGGCTTAATTTACTAAACTAAACGGTAAACAAAAGAAGTGTAGGTACTAAGTTAAATAGATGACAGATACTCTTCACAGCACTCTACATAAAACTGTTACTGTGAACAAATGAAAAAAAATCAGAATCTGCACAATTAAGGCGGTTTTATCGCTAGGAAATAACTCCAGAAAACCCAGGGAGTTGCGATACCCCATTGTAACAAAAAAACTAATTAGATTACTAATAAAAACCTGCCCGAACGGACGACACGCCGCGAGAAGCCAGTCTGCTTGTGACCACGGCTGCAGCATAGCAGCCCGAAACGTCAAGCCGTGAGTACATAAGTTACTCATATAAAAAATAACATATTGAGACCCGTGTTTCTCTATTTATTAATTGAAATGAAACGCGAGCTATTACAATAATTGGAGTCATAATTCGAATTATGATTTCGTGTGCCTTACCTTACCACTACTCTTCAATCGAAAAAAATTGTCATTGTTAGCAGAAACTTTGGTCTTGTTGAAGAAAATTTTACAGATTGTAAGTGTGATAATAAGGGGAAAGTCCAGTACCTACCTTATCTTTGATTTCATTGTGATTAATCAATTATTCGTGCGATCTGCGTAGACGCGATTTTGGACTCTACATGTGTGAGATTGACTGAGCTATTCCATTAAAAACATTGTTACACGTTTATAATACGAGTGACTTTGAAAAGATATGCGTAAAACTGAGTAGATAGGTATGTTGACTATAAAAAACAATTTAAACAATGTGGTGAATATGAATATACAAATGTGTCAGCCTGCGTTTAACGTCATTGCCAATGTGAGTGGCGTGTACGTTTGTTTTGAATGTGCTTATTACGTATTGTTTGCATAAAATATACTTGATATAAGCCTATGTGTTAGGTTTATATTCTGTTAATTTGTATGTACAAATAAAATTACAATGCATAAATGTTTACTTATTAATGCATGACTTCAACTATGTTAGTAATGCGAGTATTTCTTCACTGTAGTCTAATATTTTATTAGAAGTGTCAATTTTATACAAAATTAGAAGTTCTAAAACAAAAAGATTTCTAGTTACACGTAGTTCAGTTTTCACAAGAGCCTTTGCAAAGTTGAAAGTTCTTCAAATTGTTATTGGACAAACCCATCTAATGTAGATTAAGGGGAAAAGGGCAAGGGAAATCATAGGTCATCCGGTGATACGCAAATGTTAATTTTCATCAACATCATCATCATTTCAGCCACGGGACGCCCACTGAACAAAGGCTTCAATGATAGAGGCAAAAGCAAATGTTATGAGATAATAGTCGATTGCCTTTTTCCTGATATTCCACTAATTATTTACGTAATTTGACATGACAACAAAACTAACTTCCTTAAACATTGACTCATCCTTACGCCATTGCACCAACAATCATGTGTAGGTACTTATGTACATAATTATTCATTAACCATTCATACAGCTTGTTACTCAACACATCAAATAATGAATGAAACTGGTACAAATCGTTTCCAAACTTCGGCCTCGATGGTAATTAACAGAACCTGTGCCATTCGCATAATTTGTTATGCAAATATTGAGGTTTTGTTTGGAGTTAGATGTTTTGCCAAAAGAAGCTGTGTTTTGTGGGATGGACTAAAGTAAAGTAATGTACCTACCTAATGGAGGATAAGACATACAAGTAATTTATTCGTCAGCATTATTAGGCTGTTAAATAATTTGACTCTACCAACAAGACAGTATCTAGGTAGATAAACATGAGATGAAGAAGTGATATAGAGTCAGATACTTGTACTATGATTTGAGCTAGGTAAGTTTAATTAGGCCTTAATCATACAGCTACAAATCATCTAAATAATCTATCGTCTATCGTTCTGGAAGTCAAAGAGCGAGACTTTAAAGTTCTATAATGATAGTGATGATGAAGCTGATATTTTATGGTGTCACATAACCACTAATGGAGGCAAGACTCGAAACAACACTGGAATTTTTAGGTTCCAAGAAAATACCTACCTGACAGACAGACAGAGACTGACTACCTGTCAGACGGGGACAAGTTAAAAGTGTTAATATTCGGAACAATTAAAAGAGACTAAACAAAATAATGACAGATGACTAACGATGTTTTTCAAATATCTAATAATATTGATTGGATATTAAGTAAAAAATACTAATATTTCTAAACTCGACTTGGGCAATATTTGATCATAATTCTTAATTTTGTCGTTTTACTGAGTGAAAGGGGCTGTTACATAATTAGAGGTAAATAGGCGCTAACGAAGAAAAGTTAAGGTAGGGCAGTCAAAACAAAGTTTTTGAGTCTTATTAAGCACTTTCCAAAAGGCTTCCAAATAATTCAACACAAGCTTACATGCCCTCTCCAAAATAGATACGCCTCTGAACTTTTCCATGATTATCTGACTGCTACCAGCCATCATGGTCATTTCTTCGCTCACCTTCATGGAGTTGGCACTCACTGCGTTTGCCAAGATGTGGTCTCCAATTAAAAACTCATCGGTTTCATCGACTCATTACCTGATTGTGGGATAAAAATATGCAATTAAATTATGTAGATAATACATAATTAGGCATCCTATTACGACATATTACCCATTTAACACCAGGAAAACTTGAGCAATATAGTTTGTAGCTTTAGATGCGCCAAGATGTCATTAAATCTCAATTAATATCGATTAATTTAGTAATTATTTTGCCATTATAGCCCGAGGCGTACGTGACCAAATGCACGGTGCAGGCCTATGAAAACAATCAATTTGTTTCATAGAAATAGCAATTTAATAGCAATTAGAGATGGTTGTTGACTAACAAACTATTTTGATTGGATTCCGATCGGACTGTACTACTTTAAATGAGTGTGACGCACGAGTTGATTATTCTATTGATAGATATTGTCTTAAAACAGTGATGGTCATTAAGTCATATCGTAGATGAAAATCCAGTGGAATTTGACAGTCCTGGTACTCCTGGTATCAGATGGCAACTGGCTTGGCTTGGTTGGTCCGAATGGGCAAATCTTAATTTTCTTATGACCATCATCATCTTTTTAACCGGCTAATCTGGTTGATCCAAATCTGCAATGCCCTAAACTGGAGCCACCAGAGTGATAACTTGGTTGCCTTTATTAAATTAACCATAACATCCGGTTTGGATCTATTCTAGCTAGACCACAACCACGGACTGATAAGGTAATCGAAAAGATATCATGTTAATAGGATGTTATCTGGTGGTCGGAGTCAGCAGTCTTCAAAATGGCACTGTCTTCTTGACGTCATGACAGTTTTTAGACATCATTTGCAAATAAATTCACAAATGTCACAAAAACACGAAGGAAACTAAATACAGATTTTAAGATTAGATAAAATAATTGGATACAAAAGTACAAAAAACAACACATTATAAAGAAGATATGATAATTGTAAATGTTTGTAGAATTATAATAGGTGTGATACGTGCGACCATTGATTCTGTTCGTGATAACGTATTACTGTTTATAATAACACTGATAGCATTTGATGACAAACAACA